TATAATATCAAAGTAGTTTGAAAACTGTACAGCAACATATTGCTTCTTTCATTGTATTTCCTTATGAAAGTTTTTGTATATATAACTTAAAGCAAAGTTTCTTAAAAATAATGAAAATACTATATTTGTTGAACCAAGCCATAATGATCTTTACATATTGTGATGTTAAGTTTAGTTAATATAAGTCTTAAGTTATAATTACTTTTTTATTTAACAATAAGTTATGCCACTGTGTAATATTAATGTAATCTCAATTTAGTGAAAAGTGTTTAATCGAGGTGGTAAGATTTTAAAATGAAGCAGATATTTTAAATATCGTGTAATTCGCAAGGAAAAATACACACAGGCGTTTATCTGTAATGATATACCTACTTCAATAATATATTATTCAAATGAATAACACTTATGATAGGCGGGCATCTGTTATCACGACCCTTTGAAATTAAGATAGATTCTTGCTCTTTCCCATTGCCTTAGAAACTAATAATGATATAAGTATATCTGTGGAATTAGATGACTCAAGCAATCATATGCCATACCACATTATCAATCTCTTTTGCATATATAAATAAATAAAGTGTTATTTAAATGAACGTTAGATGGGTGGACTGAATGTGAAAACATTCAAGACACAGTTAGGCTAAAGAAATACTGTGTAATAATGCTTTAGACAACATTCAAGTCATTGCTTTGTTGGTCCTTCAATAGATTCCTTTTTTGTAATGATATGTATGTAGTGTTATCTGAACAAATAGATGGAACTCAGGGACCAAAGGTGAATAAAATCACTAAATTAATCAATCAGTTATTTCATCTATCTGGCTATTTAATGAACTCGGATGTTTCTTTATAGAAATATGTAATACTGAATTATATTAAGGTCCTAAACATTTATAAATAGCTTCTTATTCAAGGACTTTTTATGTTTATGTGGTCAGTCCCTTAAACACACATAATGTTATAGACATTTTAATGTCCGAATCTGGATAAAAATTTGCATATCTTGGCCTGAAACTTCAGATAAAGTATTTGATTTAATCTGAAACGTAAATGTTAAAGAAACATTCCAATTATTTTCAAGAATTGCTTGTATAAGATGTGAAAA